ATCTTTTATAATCCGAGTAGTATAAGTCGGGTTACCAATCACAACTCTCAACTCGTTTTTGTGTGATCATCTCGTTTTGTTTTCTTCCCATCTCCGTTTGTCATCCGAATGTAGCTACATGCGCTCTGTCACAGGTGGTCATCTCCGTGCCGGACGTCCAGCTCGAGCTTTCCAGCACAGCCTCGTAAGTCTATTCGGATTTGTTTTCATGGGAAATGAATTCAATTGATTCGCGTTCATCTGCATTGTTTATGCGCTATGGTAGACTCGAGCATTGCTATAGTTTTGCTTTGATATATTTTCTTGGACATCGTCTAACTTCATATGTCCACTCGCTTTTGCTGATCTTCCACATTTATAGGTAAATCACCTTATTATCATGTATGACTGGATGGATGCTAACGAGACATTATGTCACTGGCGTTAAAACTGTTACTCTGGCTTCAGATTCATCCGAATAACGTCTCACACATTTCAATGACAGTTATTGTTCCATTCGTTGAAATCATAAAAACTTGATGTTATTACTTTGTCAGAATGTATACTAATTTATTAGTTGGTAATCAATGCAACACTCGTATAATGAACTTTTTGTCTGAACTGTGAAAAATTCATTGGTAAATGGACTGAGAATAACACAACGTTATGTGAAAAATTCAGTTAGTAAAACACTTTAGTAAAGGTTTTAACCTTTTTCATATGCAACTGTATATAGTGACATTCGACAGTGAAGCGAACTGAGCATATCTGGCAAGTGAATTTGTCATACATTGCCGTAAATCTAAGTACAAGTGGTCGACTGCATTGGAAAATTCTTGACAATCTTTTAAATGTTCTAGTAATCCGTTTTTTCGTTAAATTAAGAAGGAATGCACATAAATCTTCGTAAACATATGTAGTCCTCTACAAGAAAGCCTGCCAGAGCAACAGTTGAACCAGTATGGAATGAGGCAGGTGTTTAGAAAGTTTACCACTTACTTCTTATGTCCTACGAATAATCTCAGTTGCCTTCCGTAAAACTTCAGGTGTCTTACTGTGTTAACTACGGAAAGCATGTGTTTAGTTCATTTTAAAAGATGGTGATACCTGAATACTGTACGTCATCACAACCGGACATTTGGATTCCATTTTATGAATGATGAGGTTTCACGGCGAAATCAGCCACCGAGTGAATCTTAAGCAATGCCACCGAAGTTTGCCATATTCAGGTATCAAGTTTTATAATAGAAACCATTGAATAGAACAGTTTGTGGATTGCAATGTGATTGTTATTGGGTTCGTAAGCGTTCCACCATTAAACAGATCAAGGTATAAAACATAGATGGGAAGCGAATGATACTTTTCAACATACCAATGTTATCAGCGCACATATCTGACCATTAAAGTGTGCATACTGCTGATGTTTAGTAATGTGTTCATTAAAATGTAGTTGAGATTCCAACCTTGATAGCGTCGACGGTATATTGAGTATTTTTGCATGTAACCCATTTTACCACAATGTTTGAACTGTTTGGTTATAACTAACAACAACTCAACATCCTTTCCATTTAATCATCTTTATGTGCTGTTGGGTTTATTGCTTTTTTCACATTAACCTGTGTGCTTTGAAAACATCAGTCTTGTTAGATTCTGGTTTCAGATGTGGATCTGTGCCATTATAGTTCAGCGGTTTTGTAATCAGTCCCAGTAGTTCTCACGAAACAGAAGTTTCACCAGTACATGTCGGCTGATGACGGGTGTTCCCTTTTTTACATTTTTCTCCACAGCATCGGCCTAAAACCGCCAGCTACAAAGGTTCTTCCAGTTGGTCTTCAGCCGCAGTTGAGTTCGGGGCGATGGGAGCTGTGAATTCAACTGCAGTGGCAGGTGTCGGTGGGCCAAATGATCCAAACAACGCCTCTCCAATGGGTCCGTGGATCATGTCCCAGAGCGGTGGGCCACCGCCTCACACTGCTGGTTCCGCAATGCCTCCGTTTCCTCTTCCTCACGGGCCTTTACCACCCCATCACCCTTTCCATTCTGGGGCACCCAAACGACCGATGCGTCCGCCTTTAGGTTCATTCGGTCCCGGTGGAAACAATATGTATGGGGGACCAATGTGAGCGACCAAAACCGTGTATCCGCCTGCTTTATCAGAACCGGTCGAGGTTGACTCAGCTCTTTCCTTCGTGTAACTAATAATTTGTACATATTTTCTTAGCCTCGTTTCTCTCTGTTTTCCGTATCCCTTAACGTGGGATATTTTTCGAACAAATTCATTAACTTGTTATCATTTTTGTTGTTGTTGGTCCTGTTGGAACCCGAACAGAGTGGAATTACGGTCGCGTATGTATACACCAACGTTGGGAAGCGTTTATCGTCTAGTTCAGTTCGTTTGTGTATTCCTGTACTACACGTACTTTGTGTTTAAAGGTTTTCATGTTTGCGTCAGTCAATCTTAACTATGGAATTAGTACGATAAAGGATGAATAACCTAGCCATTGTGACTTTAAGTGTTGGTGTGCTAGTGAGCACCGAAACATTCCGATCGAACCCTAATGTGGGCACTTTTAGTCGCTTATGATTAGTTGGTTGGACCTATCCCATCTTTTTTCTTGTATTGCCACTTCATCTCGGGCGATTTAAGTGTTAAGAGATCGTAGCACCAAAGTTAGGCATCACAATTTCCGTTTGTCGATTTCTACTGATCACGGGAAAGCAAGGACAAAACGAGGCACAGTGGAATGTTAGTTTAGAAGTGAGCTTCGACTGACATTCATACCTGGGCAACAGAACGTCAACGAACTACGCACGATTTATCTTGATCATCCATACACAGGCGTTGCTCATTTAAAAAAATAATAGTGTTTGATAAAAATTCCACTTCGTATCGCGAAGGATTGTCGCTTTGAATCCCGTTCAGGCCCTGTTTACTAGGTTAAACCGCACTGGGGAGCGGCTGATGGTTTAATAGACGTTTGGTTCATGGACAGTGTAATTTCATTTAAGAAGAAAAGCCTAACACCCGACTACAGGTGAGACATCCCACCCTGTTTGAGGGCGTTTGCACTGACAGATAACTATCCTCTACAGAAATATGCTAAACTATACATCTGGTCAGTTGTGTCTCTGTTTTACAATCAATCAGTACTTCGATTCGTTAAACTTCGTCACCTCACCAGTTATGAACCACGTCAAGTGAGCAAGCTGATCAAATAGTTTTCCCATGTGAGTTCAGTTCTGCCAATGAATAAGGGTAGAGTTATGATTACTAGGAATTTCAAAGATGATTAATCTACTCTGAGTGAACAATATTCAACAGTAATGTGTTGGGAAACTATTATACGCCGAAAGTTGACAGGAAACTTAATAAACCTGACCACATCAATCCTCTTTCAACTCGTTCTACATTCAAGTCATTCAAAAGGGTTATGGTGAACAGTGGTTAAGTTTGTAGCGTACACCCAGCGGTTAATATGCTGGGGCAATCAATATTCAACTACTTAGTGGTCTAGAGTAACTCAGAGTTAATCAGACTAACTGAAACTATTGTTTTTATGCTGACATGGGGTCGTTCGACGACACTGTTGTGGGCCGTGTCTCTGTAAATGGTTAATGGGGCTGCAGTGTTGTGCCGTATGCATTCGACAGGGCGTTTGGTTGGCTCATTTGTGGTACATTTCCGTGCATGGTACCACATGAACATTTTAATTCCTCGACTTACTCTGAACGGAATTATGATTGAGGGTGACTCACCAGTTGGAAGTTATGTGGTCGCTTTGATGTACGGACAATGAATTATCCTGGAAAGACTCCGTGATCAGTGGCGCAACGTAACGACGGTTTGGGATTGTTACAAGTAGACACCAACATATAAATTCAGATCGCTTCACACCATGTTCAATTTGGCTACGCCATGCACCGTAGTAGTTACCCCCCACTGAAATCATTGTGAGGGCACGTCGACGAGAGTGCTGAGACGAAAGATAATTTGGAGCCCACTGTTAACTTCTTCGATGATCAATGTTCTCCGACGACAGATCTCGGGCGTACGACAGCGGAGATGGAGGATTCCGAGGTCACCGCAATTAAGAGTGGAATAAAAGGATTCCTTTAATATGTGCCTTTGGCATGTTGAAAGCTTGCTACTTTCCTAACCGAAAGCAAAAAGACGGCAGTTGTGACACCAAACAGTTTCATTTTTATTGAGTTTCCGTGGGTTATTTTATGGGCAAGAAGTGGTAAAAAAATAAAGAAGTCCAGTTGGTTCCGAAATTCGGGCTTTTCTATTGGCTGACTCAGTTCTGCTTTTCTTGTTTGTTTCAACGCGCGACGAACTTACTCAACTCTTTTTCACTTTGGTGCTCGTCATAGTAAATCTGGTACTGCGCCTAAGTTGCATCCTGATCGGTCACTGTGCTGACACGTCGAGTTGCCCAAAGTGATTAACTGTAGGCTTCCGCGAACCGTTGATTGACTTAGTGTCAATGGGTTCATCCAATCCAATTTCTTTACTGAACAGTCATAGCCATTTCCTAATGTTCCTTTCGTCTGTTCCATTTAATGACTTAACCATCCTCTAACGGACAGCACTGTGATACAATTCATGGGTTTAACTCGATACAAGCTGAGTCCACAAAAATGCTCTTGCCCACTGAGATTCTGTCAGCGTTGTCTTTACCTCAAAGGACACTTGATAGATCAGATAGTAAAATTATCCTTGTGTTCCTTCTCCACTGAGATGGTATACCAATAACCAGTACGCTGATGCAGTGGGCGTTATTCTACGGTCGTCCTTCCGCTTTTGTGCAAATTAATTAGGTCCGGTTTTGGGTAAACTGTAATGCCAATGCTTCAGACCGATTGCAAACGTGTCCATTGTTGAAGCCGCTGTTATTATATTGTCCGCATATGCAAGATAGTTCAGTCTGCCATCTGACGTTAGTGGCATCAGAATCATGAAAAATTTTTTTCTTCCCTTCTGAACACATCTTTCGGGGAAAGTCTGGTTTGCAAACACTCGGATTTGGCTGGATTCGAGCCAGCTACTGAAACAGCATGCCTACATGTGGCAAGCGCTTCACCAGCTGAGCCACAAAACCACTTCGGGAGCTCGGAATATTCACGTTTGAACTATCATCTATCCATATGTGCTGTCCCATGCAACCCTCCAAGTGATCGGACAACCAAACAAGACTTCTCGAACAGTTCGCGGCGAAATCCACCAACGCCGCTTCTGAGCATTGCAATTATATTACTCATAAGTAGTGTGACTGCATTGCTGATTCGGAAGGAACTTTATTACGA